CTAAAACATAGGAAGAAAAAATCAGTAATAAGTGGGTTAGGCAGCACCCACTAGCAAGTGTGCTCTGTCAAGGCTTTATGCATCAATGAGACTGTCTGGATGTTTGAATATTTCACACTTGTGACAAAAATCCCCAGTGTATATTTTTCCGTTAGAGTATTTTGTATCAGTGATACTATATACTGTACAGTTAAGGCACACCCTCATGATAAATATCTATAATGAATGTTTTTTTCTGGTCAAGAATTTGATATTATGTGAACTTTTAAGCCAAATAAAATATTAAAAGTGGCATCCCCATAGCAAATGGGGTTAAGATAGCTTGTCATTCTCCATTATGAGAATATTTTAAACAAGATGATGAAACTTCCATTCCTCATCTATTCCTTTACAAACAATCAACCTGAGGACACCTTTCTGGGATAACGTGTCTGTGAAAGGTTTTTATTAGTGTTCTGTTCCTCAGATATTACTGGAGCCAATTCTAGTAATATCTGAACATTGATACTTACCATAACTTTAGAAGGAAAAAAAAATTAAAAAAATGTTAACAATTATCCTACTTCTATACCTTACGAACAACTTATTGGCTCTGCTGATAAAACAATGATAATATAACAGTAGTCTGCATTGATAATTCATGTCTTAGCTTTAATTAACTTTACAATTTTAATAATTCTATTATGTATATTTTTTATTATATATATCATAACTATACAAATAAGTATCGAAAATAACTCTTGGATGACATAACACATCCACATACAATAAACAAGGCTAAAGCAGCCTCAGCCTTTAGGTGAGAAAAGGTACGGACATCACCCGTATTGGGCAAGCGTGCCACCAGCCCCATTCTGTACAATAACACCAAATAAATGTATAAAGTATATTTACTCTGGGGATATTCCAAAACATATGGATATCTACAAAGAAATAGGAAACTTGCACCAGCATTCTTGGATAACTGGCCAACACTGTCACTCATGCTTCTCCTCAGGTAGACTAATACACAGCATTTGAGACACATAAAAGGCCTTATCTGAAAAGTAGAAATAAATATACAATTCAGGGTATCTCAGAAGATGTGGCTTGCTTAAGAAACTTTAAGTCCAATTTATCATCTCAGAAACTTTTCACATCCCTACTCCATTTTTCCAGCAAAGAACCCTTAAAAATTTAACAATACAGTGTAGTAATATTCAATAATTCACTGTTTTAACTCTAGAAATTTAACAAAATCTCAATTTCTAAATCAATTTGTACCTGTCACTCTTCTAAGAACACATGGAGAGAATCTTTGTAAATATATCTCAATTGCCAAACATCATTGCTTAAAGAGCATCTAATAATACTCCAGTGATATCTCATTCCTTATTTATCTATTCTTAGCTTCTTTAATTCTCATATCCGCACTTCATCAATCTTCATAGTTACCCATATAACTACCCTTGCCTTATCAATCCCCGTGCTTATACTGTAATATATATTAATCTATACTTAATATATATAATATATATATATATATATATATATATATATATATATATATATATATATATATATATATATATATATATATATATATATATATATATATATATATATATATATATATATATATATATATACTTTTTACATCACCAATAATTATAAATCTACCTTTTACTTCATCATACTTACCCATAAGTCTTATAAACCACTTTGATTTTTCTTCTCGATGAATGGCAAAGTAATAGACAGGGACCCCAATGGAGATTATCCCAATGGCAACCCCTAACTCAATGGGTCTCTGCACGATTGGAAGAACCACAAGGAAGAGACAGATGACAAAGAAGAGAATAGGGAATCCAATCCAAACCTGAGGAAGGAAAAAAGTACAAGTGAGAACCTTTCTAATATAATTTTTACACATCTTTTTTTCAGGGACACTGAGGTAAGTTTAAAGTTTTCATAACTGCAACATACTGTACTTATAATCAATGGTTCCAATTGTACAGTCATCCCTAAGCTAAGGCTGATGACTTCCTTAACCATTCTAATTGTTCCAGTTTTCTCTGTTACACAACACCATTCACAAGTTTCAATTCCTGTGCTAGAAAACAACTACCCATACTAAAAATTCTCCATCTTAGCCTTACCTTTATAGGTCTTTGCCGATTGGGTTCTTTGTACCGTAGCCAGAGCAGTGCTGCAATGGACATAAGGATGAACAGCGACTCAGTGAATGATATGTAGTTAATAAGTGCCTGCATGTCCGACGTTATGAGCATGAACGCTGTCATGAAACCCTGGAAAAGAGAGTAATGAATATATCAACTGAAAAAGTGAACTTAAAAGCACTTAAAAAATTACAAATACATTGATGAATAAAACAAAATAAATACCCAAGGAATCACTTTTTAGCTTTGAAAATAAATAAGGTAAGGTGAAGCTCCCTCACTTACTATAGTCGAAAATGACTGGAGGAAGTTTAGGTAATTGCTGCCTTTATTGACCACAGGACAACCTTCTCTTCATGTGATAAGAAAGATGTATGCATCTAATAAAAGAAGAGTGATGCTGTATGGCAGTAGAAAATAGGCCGTTAAAGAATATGATACATATAGACTTGAGTGAGCCAAAGTGAGAATGGTGAGGTGGATGATTAATGTGACACTAAAAGGAGCAAGAAAGACCAAAATAAAAGCTAAATCAAAAGAAAAGAAAGAAGAAATACAAAAGAAGGCCAATTGAGAAAAAAAGGAGATTAAGAAAAAAAAAAAGGAAGTGGGAGACAGACACAGAGACTCACTGATAACTAATACCCCCATTTATTTACTATCTTAGTTCAATTGCATAAGCCATTACCAACCAGGAAGACTAAAGATGGCACTGGTGTGTAGTTTTTTATATTGATGAGGGCAAGGATCTGGGGCAGGTGGCCTTGTCTAGCACCCACGAAGAACAATCGCGATGAGGCAAAGATTCCACCATTTAAACTACCGAACGTTGAACACGCCACGAAGAAAGGCATCGTCCACGTCATCACACCCAACATACGGTTACCAAATGACTGGAAAGAAGAATCTTGTTTGGCACATCTTGCTGTATTCATCAATAGACTTTAGAAGATTTGTAATACAGTATATGACTATTATCTATAGAATACAAAATACAATATGTTATGTGATCTTTGGAAATAAAAGTTTCTGTAGTCAGGGACCTACTTGTTTCCACACATTCACGTTCTTTTTGCCAAACACATAAATTTTACCAATTTTACTTATGCTAGTTACACAAAATAAGTATATAGTCTCTCTAAAGCTGAACTCAAGAATTTTGTAAACAGGTATTTCATAACATCTATAAACAATATTAATGTTCTTCTCTCCCATAATAGTAAGATATATTTTGTTGTGTTTAAGGCAAAATGTGAGTTACACCTTTCCATCACTATCATTCTCAAGCATCTCTTTACTCTCTCAGCAAGAGAAAATACCTTAAATAAAGAGAAAAACTTAAAGTATAAAAATTGACTAAAGAAGACAGGTAGACTCACCACTGCCACAGCACTTGATGCCAACATCTCTGAAGGAGTAAGAACAGCAAAATATGCCACATTTGCCAAGAAGTAGATGATGGTGACTAGTGGCATGGAGATCATTATGGCCTTCGGTAAGTTTCTGTGAAGACCACATACTGTACATTAATACTCTTGAGGACTAGGAGTACGGTACAGTACAGTATACTGTACTGTATATTTTTGTTGTACACTGTTGTTGATGCTTAATCATTTGCCTGTTCTGGTTATTACAAAAATAAATCTACTTCCCTTTAGGACATCATAAATTTAGAATAAAATTAACATAAAAACATTTAATTTTATAGCCAAAACAATCACACACAGAATGATAAAAAATGAACAAGAAGTTAAGTTGAAAAAGAAATAAATGCTTGACATCAACTTATGACAAAAAGAAAACCAAGATTAGAGAAGAGAAATTTGAACCATAAGTGAGAAGAAACATCTCCGGAAGGGCTGGGTAGGGGGTGGGATGCGTGGAGTTGCGTAAGAATGGGCATATCCCTCTTGACAGCCTGGTCCCAGCCCCCACTGACCGCCGGGCTACAGCCTGACGCTCACTTCTACTTATGCCAGATTGGTTAATGCTACACTACTGGACACATGCCATACCAGCAGGCAATCAAATATGGGAAGCAATGACAGAAGCAATTGTCCCACTGCAATGTGTTGTTGAGTATGTCTCTTACTGACATGTTTATATTTTGCTATTGTGTCTTTAAAAAGCTGTACTTAATGTGTCAAAACATCCATTCTCTTATTGTAGTGCCTCAATGTAACGAGTCAAAGAAGAAGTGCTGCAACATACAGTACATGACTGGGATCTTTGTCCTGAAGATTTCAAAGAAACTGTACAAATGCAAATCTTAAATCTGAGGCCCTTGCCATGTAATGAGAATGATGATATGAAATCCAAAGTAAAAATGTGCAAGTCAATTGTACAACTGGTAGTTCAGACTGTTTGGTGGCTTCAACAAGTTGGAGTTCAGTTTATTCAAAATCTAAGGAATATTACTTTCCTAAATGGGAGAAGACATAGATACAGTAGTGACCACTTATAAGGGCACCATATATAAGGTTAGGGTTAATGTAATAGAACTTTACCTGTATGGGTTTTTCAGCTCTTCCACAACAAAGTTCAAGTAGTTCCTGAAAAAAAGGAAGTAACTACTGTACTGCACTGTATATTCTAAGTCCCAGAATAAATTCTTACAAGGTAAATTAGAGCTTGAAAAACAATAAACCTGAATTTATAGACATGAGTCAATAGCTTCCTAGTTTACTGATATATACATAATGGGTACTTCACGATACTGTACAGACATGTGCTACAGTATATAAATAGTTCTGTGACTTTTTTCAATTTAAAAAATAAGTGAAAGAAAATCTTAGTTATTAATATACAGTGACCCCTCGTTTAACGAACACCTCGGTTAACGTAATTTCGATTAACGAACTGCCTTCCATAAGGATCTTCAATTCGGTTAACGAAAAAAAATTCGGTTAACAAAGTTCTTACGAACCGACCTCAACATGTTTTCGCTTGCACTGACCAGGCAACCAGCTTTAGTATCAGTCCGCCAATACATTAATCGGTTCTAGGGCTTAAATTCCTTACTATTTTAGTAAATATCAAGAAGTTTATACTATTCAATAATTTTAAAAGTTTAATATTCAATTTTTTAGTCATTTTAACAATTATTGAACATAACTGAAGGTAAAGTGACTAGTTTAATGCGCGGCATCCAGCCTCTTAACACAGCAAACAGGCGTAGTCTCTCTCTGTTTTCACTGGAGGTAACATCTTGCTTGAGACTCTCTTCAACTAAACACTTTTTTTCTGTGTTTCCAAGCAAATTATTGGTCATTTTGAAATATATTTTACATATTGACAATATATAATGCAGTGCAGTGTTGATTTAAAGAAAATAATCTTGAATTACACCAAGAGAGCTAAAATTTTATGGGTGAAATGGCGCCATGGGGTGACTTCTCTTCCACCCCAATGCCTTCTCTTTTTCCTTCTCCTCCACCCCCATTCTAAATCCCATCATCATCATCATCATCCAAGAGCCTTCTACATACACACCTCAAATTAAGTGAACTTTTCTACCATCTTTGTTGAATTTAGGAAATTTTCGGTGAGCTGGAACCAATTACCCAAAAACCCATTGAAACAATGGTTTCGGTTAACGAGCTTTTCGGTTAACGAACGACCTTCTGGAACGGATTGAGTTCGTTAACGGAGGGGTCACTGTACTGTATTGTACTTTAAATAATACAAACATTTTATTAATGAATTATTATCACCTGATGGTCGAAACAATGTTAAATTGTATTAAATATACTGTACTGTAGTAATTTTCATCCAAAGCAAAAACCTAATTTAAAGTTTGATGAAGGTCTTACTACCTTTATTTGTGTACGGTATCTTAATTTGGGAGCACTGTACAATACATCAGACTTCTCAGACACTATAACTGATCTTAAGGAGTCACCCAAGACTGACTACAGTGGTCCCTCGGTTAACGAGCACCTTGGTTAACGAGATTTCGGTTAGCGAGTTACCTTCCATAAGATTCTTAACTTCGGTTAATGAGCAATCCCTCGATTAACGAGTTTCTTACGAGCCGACCTGAACATGTTTTCGCTTGCATTTGGCGGTCCACCAGCTGTAGTATTAGTCCGCCAATACAGTAATCAGTTCTAGGGCTTAAATTCCTTACCATTTTAGCAATTATCAAGAAGTTTATACTATTCAATAATATTAAAAGTTTAATATTAAATTTTTTAGTCATTTTAACAATTATTGAACATAATTGAAGGTAATAAAACTAGTTTTATGCGCGCCATCCAGCCTCTCAACACACCATACAGGCGTCAGTCTTTGTGTCTTTTCAGTGGAGGCAACATCTTGCTTGAGACTCTCTTCAACTAAACGCTTTTTTTCTGTGTTTGCAAGCAAATTATTGGTCATTTTGAAATATATTTTACATATTGACAATATATAATGCAGTGCAGTGTTGATTTAAAGAAAATAATCTTGAATTACACCAAGAGAACTAAAATTTTATGGGTGAAATGGCGCCATGGGGTGACTTCTCTTCCACCCCAATGCCTTCTCTTCTCCCTTCTCCTCCACCCCCATTCTAATTCCCATCATCATCATCATCATCATCCAGGAGCCTGCTACATACACACCTCAAAGTAAGTGTACTTTTCTACCTTTTTTGTTGAATTTAGGCAATTTTCGGTGAGATGGAACCAATTACCCAAAAACCCATTGAAACAATGGTTTCGGTTAACGAGTTTTTCGGTTAACGGGCAACCTTCTAGAACGGATTGTGCTCGTTAACCGAGGGACCACTGTATACTACTACATGTACATACAGAAACAGACACAAATTTCTAAATATAATAAAACAATAGAAAATTCTAGGCATTAACATTTTAAATTATACTTTTATAAGACTTTAGTGTTGAACAAGTATTATGAAAATGTAAAGATCTGTAAAATATTGATCATACTTCACAATACAGAATTCTGGACATGAAAAAGAATACAGGTATGTATAATATACAGTACTGTATGTACATGTTTATTTACTATAATAATATACATTGAATAAATTGATGTCTCAAATGTTTCTTCATTGCCTCTACAGTACTTGAATGGTTATGCAAAAATTATAAATAGAACAATGGTATACAGTAATTACTGTACTTTATTATCTTAACAGTAAAAATCTTTGAGTTTATCAATACAACTCTACTTGTAAAATGTCAAGTTTCTCAACCAACTCCAAACATGACAATTCTCCCAAAAACACTTGAAACATTTGCTTAAAATTCTACAATTCATTATTATATTTGCACTGAGAAGCAAGGATGACTTCAAATAATGAGGTATACTTTGCTAACATATACAAGTACCGGTATGTAAGAAGAAAGGGTGTAGGAAATGTGGAAGGTGAGAAGATGGAGCAGGTCAAGACCAACTTTTTGAGCTATCAATAGAATAAATGGGAGGAATAACATCCCCTTAAATTTCAATAGCCAATGGCAGCCGAAGCCAGCCATTTATACTGTATTGTCAGCCGATCCCCATGGGAGAGTTCCTGGCAGACCACACCAACTCCTACTCCTCCGGGTTGATGACCACTTCCATATGAAATAACCCAATACCTGTACATTATCTGCAACTGAACACCTGTATAAAAATATCCAGTATAGTACCACATCTTACCATCCAGCAAAAGAGAAGAGCCCCTGGTAAAAGGCCGTTGCACAGAATGCGAGGTCCCAATTAGTATTTTCAAAGGGCTTCTGGTAGTTTTCGAGGTTGCCGCTGGCCAAGTGGTAGACTCCGGCCACGATGATGATGAGGAGGGCGAGCACCTTAGCCGCCGTGAACACATCCTGAACTTTGGTTGCCCACTTGACATTCGTGCAGTTCACCCACGTGAGGAAACCTGAAGGTGATAATATCATACAGTTTATTCAGAAAATTTATAAATTTTTCTCAGCAATATCAGTAAGTTAGTTTATTCAGGAATAACGAAACATGTATAATTTTTTTTATTTATAAACTGAATACGGTAAGAGCGAGGTAAAAATTATACTCCCATTGGTAGTTTACAAATAATTCCAGAGGTATAAATTATACTCTTATGGGTCATCAATATTTCCAGTTGTAAACATTACCATGTACAATTATTGGCAACTACAGTATAAAGAATTTCAAGTTTTTTGTGGAACTTCCTTGTCACTGCCGTATTAAATGACAGGTAATTACTTCAACAGGAAGACCTTCACAAGATTCCAGGCAGTGCTTCAACACCACTCATGAGCAGTATTGCCAGTGGAAAAAATCAAAACGTATCCAAAAAGGTACCAAAAAAAAATTAAAACGTATCCATAGGCTTCTAAAAAGTATCCAAAAGTATAAGATTTTTCTTTAATAAAATTACAATTTCTTAGTATCTAAAGCATTTTTGTATACTTACATACAGTATAACCTACAGCTTCACAGCATACGATAAGAATCCCATCGTCTAAACTTCAAGAATTCTATTGTAAGAATACAGTAGATGTGTAATTCTCTGTGTCGTTTTGTATTTCACATTTCTTGGTTGACCACAAGATCATGTAAGGTGATTTAATAGTAAACCACAAAACAGATGGTTAAATAGTACATTTTATCACTCTAGTAATTTTATTAATTATAAATTGTATCATGATGAACACACCACTGTCCACATTGAGTTTATATACAGTAGTAGTGTACAGACTGAAAATCTTTATATATTTCTAGTATGACAACAAAGTTAAACAGAAATATAATGGTGTCATCAATAATTTCACTGATTATAAAATTTTATAATAATAAATTTGGGGTTTAAACCCTATTACGACTATAAAATTTTTTAGGCTTTCCTAACATACAGTTTATAAATGAAATTGACATAATAGAAAAAGTACTGAAAATGTTCATTGATTTCGAAAAGTTTCACAGATTTCAAATTTACAATAATGAATTGATATATATATACTGTATATATATATATATATATATATATATATATATATATATATATATATATATATATATATATATATATATATATATATATATATATATATATATATATATATATATATATATATATACTGAAATAATAGATATGATTTTCATTTAATATTTTTTCTTTTTTTTTCATTCAGGGCATGTAATTTCACGTGGTCTACGAGTCAAAATAAGCTTACTAGTCTAGATGATTTTGAATTCCGGAATCCGTTAATGCCATTTCAACTTGTGTTTTAACGACACCCACATTATATTTCATCCAACAATTTAAAAACTTTAGCTGTATCCGCTTGTACTACATAGCTTTCCCCTTTTTAAGTCAGTTTAGTAGCGACATGATACTGTAGTGGATTTCTCCCCTACAAACGCTGTTTGTCGCTGCGTAGCCGACCCCACGAATTCCCCAGTGTATGCCTCGTGGTCTAGGTCAACCAGCGCCACCATACATCACGGAGGTCAACTACTAAGCCACGCCAACCCCCGCTATTTAAGACCTGACCTCGTGGTGATCTCTCTCTTTCTACCTACACCAACCAGCCAGCAACACCTCCTCCTCCTCCGCCTGCCTGGCGGTCCTCGCTCCCGCCGGAGAGCATGGCGACCCACAAACTGGTCCTCCTCTGAGCATCCACACCAACCAGCTCTCTCTTCTTCTAGCTACAGCCGCAGCAAGCAACACCACCTCCTCCGCCGCTGCCTGGCGGCCCTCGCTTCCGCCGGCGAGCATGGCGACCCACAAGCTGTCCTCCTCTGAGCACCCTCACCCCCACAAATGGTGACCCTGGAGTGACCACTCACACAGGATGGAGGAGAAACTGATCACTCTCCCAGTCTTCAAGCAACATGGAAGACTGGCTTATCCACCCAGAAGCAGCTCTCATCTGCTATACAGCTACTGTCTCTAAACTGCAGGTTAGACACCCTAGAGCAGCTCTGCTACTCTAAGCAGACAGCCGCTCCTATTCCTGCACCAAGCACCACGTCCTACCGACCCCAACACACCCGTCCTGCCTCAGACACTGCCCCCGGCCCAGCAGTACCCCCTGCCAAACCTCCTGATGCAGCCCCTGCTCCCGACGCAGCCCATGCGCCTGAGTGCGGACCCACACACCCCTCTTTTCTCCCTCAGGTACTCCCTGCTAATGTCCTGCACCCTGCTGCTGTCGTGGACCCAGCTGCTTTCACGAGCCCTCATCCGCTTCTGCTGACACAGCCCCTGCTCCTGACCCAGGCCCACACGCCCCAGCAGGCGCACCTGACGACTCTGTACCTGCCGTGAGGGAAGCACAACATTCATCGCCTCCACACACCCTTTTTCTCCCTCTCTACTCCCACAGATATTGTGTATCTAGACAGTTGTCTCCAGCGACCGGCTCATCCACGCCATCACCGTTGTCTCACATGAGGCATGCACCGCCCGTTCTGCCTCACATGTGCTATGCAACCCTGCAGACAACAAGTCTCCTACACCGCCTGGAGGGAAGGAGGGAGTATTGCAGTGGATTTCTCCCCTACAAACGCTGTTTGTCGCTGCGTAGCCGACCCCACGAATTCCCCAGTGTATGCCTCGTGGTCTAGGTCAACCAGCGCCACCATACATCACGGAGGTCAACTACTAAGCCACGCCAACCCCCGCTATTTAAGACCTGACCTCGTGGTGATCTCTCTCTTTCTACCTACACCAACCAGCCAGCAACACCTCCTCCTCCTCCGCCTGCCTGGCGGTCCTCGCTCCCGCCGGAGAGCATGGCGACCCACAAACTGGTCCTCCTCTGAGCATCCTCACCAACCAGCTCTCTCTCACCAACGTTTGTAACCATGGTGCCTTCCCAGCACCAAGCTGCATTGTACATCCAATACAACATGTATACAGAGAGCACATTGTGAGTTTCCTTTCTCCATCCCATCCTGAGTGAACACCAAACGTCCCATACCCCACAATACAATGTATCACAAACTCAAAATACAATCCTAACAGCACTCAGTCACTAAAGAGTGACTTCCGGAACTATGAAACAAACGGTTGAAACCTACAGAATGTGATAGTTTAGCGGCCTCAGCCCTGTGGGGATGGTGCCGGTATGGAGTAATGGGGGTAACGTGTTGGTTGAACTGGGCACCCTTTTAAAAGGATTCCATCTCTAAATTTCCCTACCTCGATATGCCATACTGTATTATACTTATTGTTTCTTTTACATAACCATGACACAGGAGGAAATAGAAAAAAAACGCATTTTCTAATCAAGGCCCACCAATGTAGTTCATTGCTGTGGAGGTTCCAACTACAACAATGGGGTAACTTCTGTTGGCAGAAGATAACAAACAAACGTCACCCGTGTGCTGAAAGGCCAGCACAAAGTCGATATCCCCTTTCGGTTCGTCATTCTTGCTTATATGCATGTCTGAGATAGGTAATGTTTTAAACTTCAGTATCATAATGGGTCAAAATCATCTGGAAAAAATATTAGTAATAAAGAATATGAAACAGGAATAATTTATGGAAAATACAAATACAACAACAATATAACGTATCCAATTTCCTAAAAAAAAAAGTAAAATAGTTTCCAATGTTTGATAATTTCTGCCAGTTCGTATCATTTTGGTCAGCGTCGTAAAAACGTAATAACCTGTCAAAAGTATCCAAATGATACTTTCGTATCCGTTTTGTCAACACTGCTCGGAGAGAGAGAGAGAGAGAGAGAGAGAGAGGAGAGAGAGAGAGTCGCATGACCCTTTTCTTTTTCTGTTAACAAGGGAGCAATAAACTGAACCCAAGTTATTAAAATTGCTTTACTGCCCTCAAGTTCCACTTTTCGCTTATGCCTTATCAGATAAGCTTTTTGTTTGATATAACTCACTATTTTCAAGTTTCTATTCCCTGTGTTTTTTTTTTGTTTTTTTACGGGGATTAGCCACCTGGGCACAGGTCACTGACCCACATCAGCCTAGGGGGCGAAAATATAATAATAATAATGTTAATAATAATAATAATAATAATAATAATAATAATAATAATAATAATAATAATAATAATAATAATAATAATAATAATAATAATAATAATAATAATAATAATAATGTATGTTGTGTTTTCAATAGTAAGAGAAACAATTGAGACCCTGCAATTGTGTGTGAATGAAGCAGAAAGTCAGATCAGCAACCTGGGACTTGGTCACTTTCGGATGCCATATGGCAGCAGGGTCTACCATTAGACAACACATTATGCTTCCAATATCTTCCCGGGCGGTAGTACCTCTCTGTTTGGTAGCTGCCTACTACCTATGAAATATACGAAGTTATATGTTGTGTGAAGAATTAATGAGAGCTATTCAAGTTTACCTGATATCAAAATATTCATATCTTGTCAGTCAACTACCCTCCACTGTTTGTCTTTCCCTCAAGTCGTTTTAAATCCTGAGATTCAAATACCAAGTAATAATGGGCTAAAACCAATGGATTCTGTAATTTAATGTGGCCTTTGTCAAATAATATTCGAGATATTTCTGAACTTTATTGAAGATACAGAAATCCTCAATAGTCTCGAAGTTCATGTGTTTTTGGGTCAAGAGAAAATACGTAGCTTATTTCTGGGTTAAGAGGCACTTCAATTTATGTCAAATACTATCTATGTGTTATCTGCATCAGCGGTACTGAGAGGGCAGTACACGTGCTTCTCTTATTGGAATTTACGCACTTACTAGCACACATATATTTACTTAATAACGCACTTACAAATTTATTTATTTTCTTGTGCATTGTAAGGACGATGTTGTCAAAGCTATATCTCTCTTTGCTCTACAATAATCGGGACGGAACGAAATCGGCAGTAAATAGCGCTACTCCAGGTGATTGTGTACTGTACAAGTGTACATCTTGATCTGCCTGGTGTGGTGTCTGTATGAATGAAAGTTTACTCTCTGCGAGAGATTTAATTTGGCTCCAAAAAGCGACTTCTGAAACCACTCTATATGGTGCATAGGATATAGGTCATTGATAAATATGTTATATAGAATTCACCCGACAGTTGTACAGTAATTCTCAAAGCAAAAACGAAAAATGGCCTGATCAAGATGATTAGAGAACTATGAATATATGACGTAAATAATAATAATAATAATAATAATAATAATAATAATAATAATAATAATAATAATAATAATAATAATAATAATAATAATAATAATAATAATAATATTGTCCTTTCAGGAATAGTTTCTTATACGTCATATAAATGTAAATGGTACGGATTATTATGACAGCAACATAATTCGTTTTAAAATCGAATATTGTATAAACTCGACACCGTCCAGAAATAAAATAAATAACATGAATAAGGAGCCCAAGCTGCAGTACTTACAGATGACGACAGCAGCGATGAGCCTCACGGGTATGTCTGGAGGTGCCTCGCAGTGGGAAGAGGGGTGGAGGATGTAGTTGGCGAAGGTGAGAGCGATGACGGTGTTACCCGTAGGCATGATGATCACCAGCGCCACCCACAAGTACAGGAAGGCTGGCAAGGGACCAAACGCCTCGTGGATGTGCAGTCCCCGCCACTTTTAAATCATCGTTCCTGGGGGAGACAACGGTAGTGGTTGTTAATTATGGATATTTCGATATTTCAAAGAAGTTTCATTTTTGAAAGGACACAAGTTTCAACATCAAAGTTTCACACAGGATCAATCTCATCAACAAAAACCTCAAAGCACACAAAATCTCACCAGAAAAAAAAACATAATAATGGAAAAAATCGACTTGTTCTAGTTAGTTCAGGCTGTTGAGTGCCATTTTTTTTCACTACAACCTCTGAAAGTTTGACAGTTCTGATGGTCAAGGTAGAGTCACTAGTTGTTATCACAGTAGTATGTGACGGTACTGTCAAGCCACGTAGCCATTCACTTATCTCTTAATCATTCTGTTCATTAGTCAACTGAGGACGACTACAGCTTAGGTGAGCGTCCTAAAGAGTTGAAGCTTAAACGAAACCATCGTCGTCAAAAGCGGTTATTATTTTATCCATTGATTACAGAAATTAACTCTGATTCCGATACTTTACTTCTGGGTAAATATTATCTTATCTGAATTTTGGAAACTCATCTGACGTGTTAAGTATTCAACAGTGCGACCTCTTTCTACCTGGATAGTTTTATTATTTCCCTAAAAACATGACCTACTGTACGTTCATTAGATTATTCCATTAAAACTTTTTACAGAATGACCACAGAGTTCCCATCCCTGGCAGTCTCTGTAAAAGTTGGAGCCAGGCCTCAAGATAATATTTCCTCCCTTTCTAAAAATTTCCATAAAAAGATCCTGTCCGTGGAAGAGCACATTTTGAACTTTCATAAACATCTTTTGAATAATATTTTTATCACGCAACAATCGATGAAAAATATAACTCACTAGAGACACACTGAGGCCTATTTCTAATTTATAAAATGTAAAATGCTACAAGAATCTAGTTTATTCTTACTCATAGACATATAAAGATTCCATTAAAATATTCCTATCTTTCTCAATTTAAAGAACGACGACACCAGGGCCGGGCCAAAGCTTACCCACCAAACATTTGATAAAACTAACACCAAAATAGAAAAGTTTATCCAAATGTTTGGGGATCATGAGGTTAGATAAATGCCCCGTGATGAAGGTAATCACTCTTACCACGAATCAAGATCAATAACGACCAAGGTCACAGCATCTCGGCACACCTGTATGTCACCCGTGATTACCTGATATGAGTCGTGGTCTTCAGGGGAACCTCAAAGAAGGAATCAGGAGAGGAGATTAATATTTTTTTAGCTTATATCAGTAATAATAATAATAATAATAATAATAATAATAATAATAATAATTGTTGTTGTAGCTTAAGCGGCAGTTCCAAGTAAGAAAAACACTTTATACATTCATTTACAATCGTTCTTTCATCTCCAGCTAGGAAGAAATTTCAACGCAAGAACTTTTGTGTATTCATTTTGTCTTGTCTTTTAGCTGCATTCCTAGTTCACCAAATAAGGGGGGAATGTACCAGGTAACTTACATACCTTTGAATACCTGTTTTGTGTAATAGCTTAAGGTGACCAGGTAGACGTGTTCTTATATCTTGAGTTAGTTTGAGAAATTTGACATATTTGGTCATTCGATAATCTGGTTTAGGTGTTGTAAGTTCACAATCAGTAATTCCGTCCAAATGATCATGCATAGTACCGTGGAAACTGTGGACATGCTCTGTCGTAATATGCTCCGGTGAGAGGAGGGAGCATTCAATCTTTCCAATGGGGTACATCTACCTACATTATAATTATACCTACTGTATAACCTTTAACCAGAAACATAAACTTCACACCAAACCAGTTATCACAGAACCCATCTATAATTTGATCTATTTCAAATATTTATAAACACATGTGCGAATCACTCGCTGCTAAATCATAACCACACTCAGAATATGATCTTTCAAGCGGGAATATCGGTACAAGTATGGTAATTCTTAGATGATGACATTATGGTAGTGCGACTGATCACCTCGATAGATCATTAAGGAACACGTATTCAAAAACATTAATATAAGTAGAGTAACACCCAAGTGACGTCAGCATCATCCATCAACATGTGGTGGTATATTGTATAACCTAACCTCGATCTGAGAGACAAGAGGAGTCTAAACCTTCCTTAAACTGATCATAATATATACAGTAATGACATCAACCCGCACCATCCTGCTTCAGAGGCTTGACCTTCTTACTCAAAGGACTTACACACACACACACACACCATGATAACTCTCCATCATGCCAGCAACAGCATCAGGACCTCAGGTGCGGACTCCCTTCAATCATGACTAAACGTTGATGACATCACACTAGTGACCAGAACCACTTACAGCCAGTCTCAACCACACGTGTTCCTCCCGGCCTTCCAGATGAGGCTGTTCAATGCTCACTTGACGGATATGAAATCGCAAATCGAGAATTCAATGAAAAGCTCTCCACTGCAGATGTCTTCACCAAGCCGCTTTTGTCGTCTTGTGCGGAAACATCAATTTAAGGTTGCATGTCCCTTCAGACGACTGCTAGTGGCACTTTAAATACCATCTGGCTGTGACATTGAAGTTGGTCAGTTTATAACCAGCCACCTGCTCGAGGATATTACCCTAGAAGTCGACAAGTAGTCACGTGACACTCAAGTTATTACAGTCAATCTTGAGGAGTTTCGACAAGATACACTCAAGCACCGACAGGTTATGAAATACCCCGTGTATATATACAATACACTCAGTTACATGGCAAACGTATAAAAAACACCTGAAATATAATTATCTTGCATCAAAATTGTCATCACGAACACAAAACACACACACAAGGTCCACGTTAACATCTTCAAAATTAACTTCCTATCCTCAAAGTTAATTTCCTATCCTTAAGGTTAAATTTACATCCTCTAAGAAAACTTCCTCAGCACCAGACTATCATAGTGACAGTAGCTATGGGAAGAAAAACAAAACAAGAATTGATCATTATGACAGCGCCAACACGAAATATCAACAACACCTGGAAGTTTTCCTCCACCTGGCAAAATCACGATTGTGGAAATTGAGCCAAACTCTTCCGTTCTTTCTGCCTGTCATGACTCTGTTGACGTCTGCAGCAACATGTATACGGATCATTACAGAGGTTCAGTGAAGAGTGCCAGATTGTGTCGCGTCACAAGAAGAAACATAAAAGTTGCAAGTAAACAGAGTATTACCAGCACTTATCAGCAGTCACAGTTTTAGACAAGACATACTGTAGATGCTACAATGATTAGGATTTATTCTCTGGTCATGTTATTTAATGAATTCGAGACAGAGAGAGAGAGACACAGACAGAGATGGAAGAAGGAAGGAATACCACAAGACAGATAAACAAACATACATGAAATGCCAGAGAAAGAGTAATATTTTAATTTCGTCACTCAAAATGTTCTGGTTATAAATTGTTGACGCCAAAACGTGATGTCATTAAGGTAAACACTAATCCGGTGATTACCATTGGCTCACGACACAGCACTCACACTGACACAACAATCAAGTAACGTTATTATAATCCTATTTTGTTGTGACGTGCCAATCCATACAACACTTACTGAAAAATTCTGTGATAACGTAATACAAGACGGAAGCGGAATCCATCGGATTCACGGGAACATTTGAACATATTTCCCATAAAGCAAAAATCATTCAAATCTAAAACAAACAAACAAACAAAAGTGTCAGACCGATTGTCAAAAAAACACTAAAAATAAAAATAAATATTATCCAATGGATTGTGGCGAAGAAAAACAAATATTTATTACAACGCTTTATTGGAATATTTAATTTTCAATTGCTTATAACCACCCCATAGATGTGAACAAATACTAAAGGGGCTTCTTGCAGGTAACGTAAACACAAGATAAATAAACATTATTCTCCTCTATAGCTAGTTCTTTACAAACCTTAGTCACTAACCCAGCAATAGTCACTAGGTCATCCAGAATAGTCACTAGGTCATCCAGAATAGTCACTAGGTCATCCAGAATAGTCACTAGGTCATCCAGAATAGTCACTAGGTCATCCACAATTGTCACTCGGTCATTCAGAATAGTCATTACGTCATTCAGAATAGTCACTAGGTCACCCACAATAGTCACTAAGTCATCCAGAATAGTCACAAGGTAATCCAGATTAGTCACTAGCTCATCCAGAATAGTCACTAGCTCATCCAGAATAGTCATTAGGTCATCCACAAGTAACTAGGTCATCCAGAATAGTCACTAGTTCATCCACAATAGTCACTAGGTCGTCCAGAAGTCATTAGGTCATCCACAATAGTCATCCACAAGTTCACTCGATCAGCCTGAATAGTCACTGAGTCATCTACAAGTAACTAAATCATCCAGAACAGTCATTAGGTCATCCACAAGTAACTAGGTCATCCAGAATAGTCACTAGGTCATCCAGAATAGTCAATAGTTCATCCAAAATAGTCACTAGATCATCCACAAGTCACTAGGTCATCCACATGTTCACTCGGTCATCCAGAATAGTCACTAGGTAATACAGAATAGTCACTAGGTCATCCACAAGTCACTAGGTCATCCAGAATAGTCACTAGGTCATCCAGAATAGTCTCTTGAGTGACTGAGATTTTTTTTTATTGGGCACTCCCCTACATCCTTGTGTAAGGTGAAGCGCAGAAGCGTTTACAGCGCCCAACAGGGAAGCATGCTAAGTTCATGCTTGCCTTTATGTCTCATGAGTTAAGGGCGTAGAAGCCTGAAGAGTCAAGGGAGTAGAAGCCTGAAGAGTCAGTGGTTTATGTCATCAAGTTATTGGAAGCTCCAACAACTACCTCAATACGAATTCGCAACTTTCGGCTTACAACTTTGCTGCTAGGTGAACAGGGACTGATGGGGGCTAGGAAGTAAGTCCAAACATGACTGAGATTGAGTGAGTCATATCAAACTAGCTCCAGGTCAGGTCTCTCTCTCTCTCTCTCTCTCTCTCTCTCTCTCTCTCTCTCTCTCGGCACCACAACCACTGTAATTTCGTTTATATTCATCACACACACACACACACACACTCACACACACACACTTCATCCTTGACCACCGAAGGGTTCAAAACGTACCTGGCGCTCCTCTGGGAGCAGCCAGGTCAACTGTTAAGTTGGCCCATACCAACCCCCTCCCGTGAACCCTCCTCCCCACCGGAATGTCAACAGGTTCTCGCTAAAGGTTACAATTTCGTTTAGGAAAGGAATGGAACCAGTGTTGAACAGTGGTGAACAGTGCTTAAGTCAGTGAGAACAACTCAACAGTAACAGCTGAGTCGTACCCAAGTTAACTTTCACACAGTGAGGTCCCAGGTACCCAGTGATAACTGCCCCTGACTTAATAACACCAGCGATGTGTTAATCCGTCCACGATAGGAAGGCCTGGGACCACACTCACATAACACTATCTGTGAGGGAATTACTACACCATGTGAGGCCCCTCATAACACCATCTGTGAGGGAATTACTACACCATGTGAGGCCCCTCATAACACCATCTGTGAGGGAATTATTACACCATGTGAGGTCCCTCATAACACCATCTGTGAGGGAATTACTACACCACGTGAGGCCCCTCATAACACCATCTATGAGGGAATTATTACACCATGTGAGGGCCCTCATAACGCCATCTGTGAGAGAATTACTACACCATGTGAGGCCCCTCATAACACCATCTGTGAGCTGTATAACACCATCTGAGAATTACTACACCATGTGAGGCCCTCATAACACCATCTGTGAGGAATTACTACACCATGTGAGGCCCTCATAACACCATCTGTGAGAGGAATTACTACACCATGTGGGGCCCCTCATAACACCATCTGTGAGGAATTACTACATAACACCATCTGTGAAGGAATTACTACACCATGTGAGGCCCCTCATAACACCATCTGTGAGGGAATTACTACTGTACACAATGTGAGGTCCCTCATAACACCATCTGTGAGGGAATTACTACACCACGTGATGCCCCCTATAACACCATCTGTGAGGGAATTACTACACCATGTGAGGTCCCTCATACCACCATCTGTGAGGGAATTATTACACAACGTCAGGTCCCTCATAACACCATCTGTGCGGGAATTACTACACCACGTGAGGTCCTTCATAACACCATCTGTAAGGGAATTACTACACCACGTCAGGCCCCTCATAACACCATCTGTGAGGGAATTATTACACCATGTGAGGTCCCTCCTAACACCATCTGGGAGGGAGTTACTACACTACGTGTTTGCTGTTCAACACCTACATTAATCTGTATGTTCACTGTATGTTCCTTTACCTTTCTCTAATGACAGCTTTGTTAAACCACCAATGTATGTAAGTCATTTATGTCCAATGTATATTTTCAGCCTTCGGGCTGCAGAACTTTTTCAATAAACCGTTAATTATTATTGTTATTATTATTATTATTATCACACACACACACACACACACACACACACACACACACACACACACACACATACACACACACATACACACACACACACACACACACACACAGTTGACAAGAAAGAGAGAACTCGGTAATGTGGCTTGACCTATTTGTGGTCTCCCATCTACACCTGGCAGACGAGTGTAAGGTGAGGGGGTTACAAAAGTCCTCTGTACCCAGAGGTGTTTCTTATTGGGGGGGAGGGAGGGCGGACGGGGATGGAGAGCAAAGGGAAGAAAGCAAGATAGGTAAGAAGGGAAAGGCGGAAGAAAGCAAGATAGGCAAGAATGGAGAGGTGGAAGAAAAAATGGGAAGAGGGGCGCGACTTCTTTTTCTTGGTGTGAAGGAATGAAGGGATTAGGGAATGAGAGAAAGGAGGAGGAAGAGGAGAAATTTGAAGCAAAGGAGTACAAGAAAGGAAGGAGGAAGAGGTAAGGGAATGAGAGAGGAAAGAAGAAGGAAGGAGGAGGCAGAGAGGTAAATGTGAAGAGAGGATGAGAGAAGAGGAGGAAATAATGAGGAGGGAGGGAAAAGTGTGGGCGAAAGTAGACTGGTTTTGCCAGGTGTATAACAGAGGTCAGCATCATGTGGGTCGATCAGATTGTAGATGACCTGGTTATGACCTGGTTATGACCTGGTTATGAACTGCTTATGAACCGGTTCTTGGTAAATCAGAATAGTGGAAAATTATTCTTACACGATATTAAACCAATCACAGGAGAGATTATATCCAACTACACTAAATATTACTAGCTTCATGCCCCACCTTTCGACCAATCGCAGACGACAACACCTGAACACCCAATCATATGGCAGATGTCCTAATAATTGTCCGCTTTTGGGCCAATCATAGTAGAGAAGGGTTAACTATAGCTATTCATATTAATAATTATCTGATTTATAACACCTCGACTGCTCACAATACCTTACCTAAGTTCTATTCTAAGTGGACCAATTGTTCGGTCTATACAGATTTGCCCCCACACACACACGTTACAGCATCCAAGAGGGAATTTGTTGAGAGCTAGAAAGGGGTTGATATCCTCAGTACTTGTGTGTGTCGAAATGGGACAGTGTGTAGTGCAGCTCTTTTAATATCTAAGATTCGTCCAGTACTCGTCCAAGACTCACGTGAGGTTCAAAATAGTGGACGACGAGATTAGCTTCAGAGTCTTTCTTCACGGATGATCAATAGTCTTAAAGGTAAGTAGTTCCTCTGTGAAACATCCAGAGAAACCTCTTGTGGATGTTTACCCATTGCATCCAGCCCAACGATGACCGCGAGAGAGTGTTGGATGACAGGAAGGTGAGGGCGGAGAGGAGAGGTGTGAGTCTCGCAAGGTCGGATGTATAATGTCATGATAAGGAGATACCGTCGTGTTCTCTCTCTCTCTCTCTCTCTCTCTCTCTCTCTCTCTCTCTCTCTCTCTCTCCACAGACAGGGGCCAAAGAGTACCATGACTATTTTATCTAAGTCAGTAATAAGAGAGAATTATAAGCAGCTATACTCATGCGTTACCAAGACACGTGAGAGGTGTTCGTGAACTGTCAGGTGAGGATAAATGAGGAACTCCTGACCAAAAAAAAAAAAAAATTGCACAGCATTTTTACTCGTTAAGCGTGTGTATAAGAACCGGGGAGCTCACCTAATAGTAAGAGTGAAAGAGAATGAAAGAGAAAAAGAAACAGACAAAGGAAGGGATAGAGACAGAGAGGGATAGATAGATAAATAGATAGATAGATAGATAGAGAGGGATAGGTAAATAGACAGACAGAACAGACACACAGAAAGATAGGGAGGGATAGATAGAGAGACAGACAAAGAGATAGAGATAGATAAGGATAGATAGAGACAGACAGAGATAGAGAGGAATAAATATAGACAGACAGAAAAAGAGATAGATAGAGAGAGAGAGAGAGAGAGAGAGAGAGAGAGAGAGAGAGAGAGAGAGAGAGAGAGAGAGAATAGGCTGGAATGTTGTTGTCTGTACACGTGCCAGTAAGTATAAATATCTTAGAGGACGTGAAACATTTGACGGTATTATTTGGCTTGTGTTGCATGTCTGGCTGATGAGAGAGAGAGAGATGAGTGTTACCTCAATATGGAACTTGTTTTTCTTACGATTCAACTACAGATCAATCAATGCGTTTACAGATTTATACCAAAAGTCTCCAGTGAGGTTTTTTTTCTCGCCTTTTGAAATAAAAAATTGACCGATGGCTCACACAATGACTCACACTAAAAATAGTCACTTAGCTTTACAAACCAGCGTCAAAGGTCACTAATGATTATTTTAACACGTAACTATTGCAAGTTTTGACCTTCTCACAACAAGAGGAAGAAATGTGTGGGCAGGTATCGATGCATGTACCAAGTTTGGTCTGGTTAAAACTGTTTTATTTATGGTTGCGTTTAGTCAGCTTAGAGCACGTCCTTCCAAACCTGACTGCTGGATATTTTTTGTTCTTGTTATACAGAGTTGATAAATCATTTCACTGACACAGCTACACTCAGCCAGCGTCACGATTCTCATAATGCCTAGGTAGTGATGCAGCTTCAGAGTAAAACACTTCTTAATACCAAGCAGGTTCTTGACCTGCGTCAATGAACCTTGCCACAAAAATTAACCCAGCAGCTGACGATCTGTTTCACTTTGCTAAGACACGATTTTGAAGCTACGCCAGACGAGCGTTGGTCTGCCTCCTGCCAGCAGTGGGGTGACAGATAAAGTCTAACTGGGACACTGTTTAAGAATTCCTGATCTACCTAGATTAGCGTCGTGGATAGTTAAATAGATGGATTGATGAACGAAAGGGAAACTTACCTAGCTCAGCATAGCAGAGGGCGCCCACCGTGGAGAGGAGGCCCGACACGGCCCACACCACCAGCGCCACACCCACGCTGCCGCTGTACTCCAACACGCCCTTGGGGGAGACGAAGATCCCCGAGCCGATGATGATGCCGACAATAATACCCACGCCGTCCATCAGCCCCAACTCCTTCTTTAGCTTGAACCCTGAATCCGAGGAGCTGTCCCCCGCCTCCTCGCCCGCCTCGGAGCCATTATTGGTGTTTCCAGAGGCAAGGGGTGCAACTTCTGCCGGAGAGGCGTTGGAAGCATCCTGCAGGGTTGCCATGATGATAGCGACGCTGCTGGTGTGTTTACAAACAAAGAGAGTGAGAGGAGAAAGGAGGGGGAGGAGAAGAAGGAAGGTGCTGACCTGACTGACTCACCACAACTGTAGGTTCTTTCCTGGGAGCGTTTCCACCATCAAGGGTTACAACGTTGTTTTTTTCTCACGCAACATACACTCAAAAGGCAATTTATTCACTCTTACTGCACATTTAATTGGAGTACTTCCTCAACACCAAATTTCATAGGAAAATTTTTAGCAAGTTAACAAGAACCAGCCTAGTTCAGTACACAAGTTCCTGTCATTAAAGCCTTTATTTTCTGGCACTGGCACACGAAGGACACTTGAAGCTACTTCCGTTTCTGGAAGCTCACAATAAACACTACACTATAGAAAGCCTCAGCTGAGGTGGATGAAGGCACTGAGTGAGGACGTGTGGGCAGATATTATCACGAGACGTTGTTTACTTTCTACTCTACGGTCACTCTCACTCAGGAACAGACAAGTATAATGTACCTCACTCTTCTTCCACTGAATCCTGTATTTATAAGACTTCTAACGCCATAATATAGGACAGTACACTCGGCACGCTATAATAAGGCCTCCGTTATAAAGATAATCACAGGAGTGTCACACGAGGCGCTGCACCACACTACCATCCCCAGTGCTGTTCGTCTCTCTCCCCAGCCACATCATCAAGGTTTTATTTCTTCGGTAAACTTCTCCCCTCTGCAGTGACTTCTTCAGGAGACACTTGCCTCTACCAAGCTACCGCATAGCCAGTAGTCTCCGCACTTGAGCTGTCTTCAACCACCATGGAACCTGTCAAGAGGAAAAAATACAATTATTAGCGACAAACATCAATTGACATTAAGTAATTTAAATATGTTAAGTTGTCTTCATCGAATAATATAAATTAACATCTACGGTAATGTGTACGATGAGTTTCACAAATCACTAACAAGTTTGGTAAATACAATATTAACAGATATCAATAACAGCGACCTGCAAAAATCCTTACATAATAAGTTATATCTATCTAGCGACAGACAAACGGATAGATACATAGATATAGAGATAAATAAAGAGACAGAGATAGACAGATCATTCCAAAAACCCATGAACAGGGTGGGACAGAGGTTGAGGGTGGCTAAGTGTTCCTTCACTGTGATGTGTGACGTTGTTGACTGACTAGCGAATCAGTTCCCAATTACGACGGCTCAAACAGTGACGGTAAACAGTCACGCCTCAGCACAGGTCGGGGGAACACGTAGACTATTCGGTTATCTCCCACAGAGAGAGTGGGGTGACTCTCACTTAGTGCTAACAACACGTGAGAGAGAAAAAAATGAGAGAAGAAGCTGGGGTGGCCCTCACAGCGTGTGAGTGAGTGACCAACAGCCACCGCCATTCAACATCCTCCTCTCACTCACACTCACACTCACACACACATACATATATTATTTGTAATTCGAAACTCATTCCCCAAATATGTAACTGTATATTTTCAGCCTTCTGGCTGCCAAGCTCTTTCAATAAACCGTTAATTATTATTATTACTCACCTACGCACACACACAGACAAAACACACACACACCCACTGAGTGCTACACCCAGGCATAACACGACCTCCCTCCCCTCTCTCTCTCTCTCTCTCTCTCTCTCTCTCTCTCTCTCTCTCCTGTCCATTGTTGACGCTTCAGACTCCAACCTTTCAATCAAGGATATATTTCAGAAGTGGCTGTCATGACCCTGGGAAGCCTTAATCCCCGACACAAACCAACACAAGACCCGATGTTTCAGTTCTCGGTGTTTGGAGCGTCGACTTTCTGCCTTAGACGACTCGGGGTAGTGATAGGTATAGTGAAGGTCGATTTGGTTCAACCGCCCTCATCAAGGACGTTTCATGCTGACCGCTTCCTTCCTTAATCTATTCATCTATTGTTTTTTTTCTTTTTCATTCGCTTACCCCTAAGGACGGATCAAGGAATACACAGTAAAGGTGAATCGTGTAGCTTCTTCGACACTGACTCACTGCACATCACTTCAATAAGCTGACTCGGTCAGATTCGTTCATGCCGCCATCATCACATGCGAAACGACTGGACTTATTTCACCAACAGGCGTTGTCCATCACCACTGACGACGAGAGATTCCAAACCCAGAGACCATATGCTATTAGGTCAAGGTCATTGAGAGGTGGTGGTGGTGAAGGAAGGTAGTGGTGGTGAAGAAGGTAGGTAGGTAGGTAGGTAGTGGTGGAGGGGGGGGGGGAAAGGAGGGTAGTTAGATGATGGCCTCTAAAGGCGTTGTGACCCATGTAAACACCTCTAGGGTAACAGTGCCGTCTTGACCCCACCAGGACGCGAAGGATCCACGTTCCAGTTACTCGTCCACATCTCAGGTCACTCGCCCACGTCACAGGTCACTCATCCACGTTCCAGGTCACTCATTCATGTCCCAGGCCACTCATACACGTCATAGGTCACTTACCCACTTCTCCAGGTCACTCATCCACGTTCCAGGTCACTCATTCACGTCCCAGGTCACTCATCCACGTCCCAGGCCACTCATTCACGTCCCAGGTCACTCATTCACGTCCCAGGTCACTCATCCACGTCCCAGGTCACTCATCCACGTCCCACGTCACTCATCCACGTCCCACGTCACTCATCCACGTCCCACGTCACTCATCCACGTCCCACGTCACTCATCCACGTCCCACGTCACTCATCCACGTCCCACGTCACTCATTAACGTCCCAGGTCACTTATCCACGTTCCCAGTCACTCATCCACGTCTCAATTCACTCATCCACATCGCAGGTTACCCATCCATGTCCCAGGTCACTCATCCATTCACTGGGTCACTCATCCACCACTGGTACCTCCCAAGCAATACATAACAGCCTATCAGTAATAATAAGGGGTGGAGAGAGAGAGAGAGAGAGAGAGAGAGGGGGGGGAGGTAAACATGACAGAAATGGAGAAGAGGCAATAAAGAGAACAAGAATGAAGTAATGAAGAAAGACCAGAAGAGGAAAATCATTGGATAACAGAGAAGTGGATAAGGAGATGGAAATGGTAGATAACGGAAGTAGGGAGGATGATTCTAGATAATGCTAGGAGTGTGATATAGCGCTAAGAATGGAAGATAACGCTAGAAATAGGAGATAACGATAGGAATGGGAGATAACGCTAGGAATGAGAGATAACGCTAAGGTAAAAATATAGAAAGGAGATAGGGAGATAGGTAAAAAATAGAAGAGGGTAATATGAAAGGTCCATAAAGCTAGGAAGGGAGATATATCAAAGTGAGAGAGCAAGACAATGAAGCTTAATGAAGAGGGAAGATAGGGAGATGGATAAAGTTGGGAGAGGGAGGGAGGTGGTGATGATGGGGGAACAATACTGTAGGCCAGGAAGCCTCCACTTGAAGCCTCCCCGGTCGTCCTACCCACCTACCCCTCCCCCCTACCCCTCCCCCCTCCCTTCACCCTCAGTACACACACACACACGTTGGTACATATACGCTATAAGTACTACATGCTGGTTTAAGTGTTTTGTTAATGTGTTTGTACCTATTGTTTTTGTTTAGGTTTGATTGTGACAAAGAGTGTACAAGTGTGTGTGTGTGTGTGTCTCTCTCTCTCTCTCTCTCTCTCTCTCTCTCTCTCTCTCTCTCACACACACAAATAACTCAATACAAGAAATCAGTGCCTCAAGTGCCAGTTGACTGACATAAACATCCCAAACACACACACACACACACAACACAAACCCCAACTCTCCCTCCCAAACACACACCCAAAAGTGCCCTTAACACACACGTGATCACATATAAACACACAAGTACACCAAATACATACACATGTACTTCCAAACACACATAGGTACCTCCAAACACACACAAAAGTACTTCCAAACACACACAAGTACTCTCAAACACAGACAAGTACTTCCACACACACCTAAACACACATCTAATTCACCTTCGAGACCCTGTGCCACCTGGAGTCATTCATCTTAATACAAAGTGACTTTAACTCTCTCAGGTTACAAGATCTGACCATGAACCAATCACAACACCCCCCCCAACACCCGGTTCCTCAGTCTCAAACGGTAAATTTTCCTCCCCAGAGACGACAGAAAAACACATCTAGGTGGTTCTTTCAATCTTCAAGGTGAGGATGGAGACTGAGAGAGTTGTAAGTCAATTATTTTCCTGGTTGGTGATGTGAGACGCCATCTGAAGTGATGATATACAGTATGTGAGAATTTTCCTGGGTGTGTTATTTTCCTGATGATGATGATGATGACGATGATAATTATTACAACAACAACAACAACTAATAATAATAATATTTACTATAGAGAATTAAAAACACACCGGGTACATTATTATCACGCACGATACACACGCACCATCCCTCTTATTTAGTCTTGAGCACCAAACACAGTATACGATAATTAGAAAAACAACATTAACACAATATCAGGAGAGTTAGCAGATAATGATAAATAATCATAAACTTTAATCTTAATTATGGTAAAATAAATACTGATCTGTGTAGGTCTGGCGATGGCATCATCAAGTGGCGCCCTCTTGAGATAATATTCTTGGAGATGAAAGCCACACATTTTCCCGGTATCTGACGTAAGAATAATTAACTCCCTCAAAAAACAACATTACATTTACAGACGTTAAATACAAGTCATGAGAATTTCATAATAATACAACAACAATAATTATTTTGATGCAATGTAAACAACAATTAGTTCACACTCTACTTGTACATGTAAAACAAAACACTGCCTATGTTAGCGTTAGTAAGAAATCTACTGTAGTTGTGACATTACTCTCAGGGTCAGTTTGATGTAATGTTAGGCTGATGTTTAAGAGAAAGTCACGCTCTGTATTGCTCTCTGTTTTCTTTTACCACTATTGCAACACTCCTCATGCACGTCGTCTTTCTTCATGTTTTAAATATCAACTCACCACTCTAACATCACATTCCGAAGTGGGTGGGTGTGTGGGTGTGTGGGTGTGTAGGTGGGTGTATGGGTGGGAAGACACAGGTATCATGAGAAATTTGTTGATGACACTAAAATAGGACGTGTTATTAAATCTGACGAGGACTCAGCAAAACTACAGGAAGATCTAAACAAATTTTTCGAATGGTCTGAAAAATGGCAGATGAAATTCAATGTGGACAAATGTAAAGTACTCAGTATAGGAGATGTAAACAGGGAAACCAGATACCAGATGAACAACGATGCCATAGAAAATCCGACTGCGAGAGAGATTTAGGAGTAATGATAAGTAGGAACCTTAAGCCAAGTAAACAATGTGTTTTTGCTCGTAACAAGGCTAATAAAGTACTTGGGTTCATACAAAGGAGTGTTAGTTACAAGACTAGCGAGGTCATCCTAAAACTGTATCTTGCTCTTGTGAGACCACACCTGGATTACGCAGTTCAGTTCTGGTCACCGTATTACAGAATGGATATAGAATCATTGGAAAGAATTCAGAGGAGAATGACAAGACTAATCCCGGGCATTAGGAACCTTGAGTATAGAGACAGGTTAAAGCATCTGAATTTGCACTCCCTCGAGAGACGTAGAGCGAGGGGTGACCTGATAGAGGTGTATAAGTTGAAGTCAGGGCTAAACAAAGGGGACATTACAAAGGTACTCAAACTATCCAACCAGGTGCGAACTCGTAACAATGGTTTTAAATTAGAGAAATTTAGATTTAGGCGTGAAATAGGTAAACACTGGTTTGGAAACAGAGTAGTGGATGAATGGAACAAGTTACCAAAT